TTTTTTTTTTTTTTTTTTTTTTTTTTTTGGTTTTTTTGAGACAGGGTCTCACTCTGTAGTTGAGACTGCCCTGGAACGCACTGTGTAGCCCAGGCTTGTCTCAAACACAGCAATCCCCCTGCCTCAGGCTCCGGAGTGCTGTGATTATAGGTGTGCCCGGCTTCAAGTGCCTTTTTAGGCTGGGGAGGGCCATCTGCTTCAGCTTACAGGAGCGTGGCAGAAGTTGGGCCCACACCAGGACTCTGTGAGCCTGCATTTAACTTAAACCAGACTACAGCCATATACTATACTGGCCTCAGTTCTCAAGAAATCTATCAGAATTTCTACAGACAAGCGTGTGCAGAGTCCTAAGTACAACAGTGTCCTATCAGCTGACATTAACTCAGAACAGTGTTAGCTGCCTAACTGGCAACAAGCTCAGTAGCCAATGCTGCCTGTACTCTCACTGCGGCTCAGTACTAAGTGTGGTTAAAATGTGAAAACAGCTTGTACTGCAGTCCCAACAACTCAAATCACCTAAGCAGAACACTATTGTGACCCTTGGCAAATTTACTTCCAGCACATTCCAAGGCGCCACAGGTAGCCTTGGAGTGTCAGTTCTCAAGCTGATTCCCACCCTCCAGAGGACAACACTGTACGTACTGGATCCTGGCCTATCCACTTCGCGCACAATGTGGGTCATGCCAGCCTTGTAGCCCAGAAAGGCTGTGAGGTGGATAGGCTTGGAGGGGTCATCCTTGGGGAAGCTCTTCACCTTCCCTCGATGCCTACTGCTGCGCTTCCGGGGCAGGAAGCCCAAGGACCCATGTCTGGGAGCAGAAAACTTCCTGTGCGACTAAGGAAAAAACAGTAATTAGCACCCAAACTGAGGTAGCTCTCCCTTCTCTGCAGCTCTAAGTGTTCTCAGGAATACTGAATCTGAACCAGGCAGGAAGCAATTCCAGGTATCACACCTAAAGACATTATTCAACACGCCCTGGGAGTAAAATGTGAAACTGTTTTACAAGAAAGTGAACTACACGATTTCCCCAACACCAAACAAAATCAAATACTAGCATTAAGTCACATTTTATCAGATGG